GGAAAAGAAAAGACAAATCAAAAGGAGGATAGGGAAAAAAAAGAAAAACAAAAAAATTCGAAGTGGGGGGAATGGGAATGAAAAAGTGAAGGAGAAGAGAAGGAAATAGGTGGGGGAGGGAAAAAGATGAAGTGGGAGGTGGGGGGATGAGGTGGTGGTAGTTGGGGGAGCAGAGGGTTGGGGAAAGGTGGAGAGAGATCAAGAAGGAAGGAGAAAAGAAGGAAAGAAAAGAAGAGATGAAGAAAATAGAGTAGAAGAATGGGTGGTGGGAGAAAGGTGGCGTGGGGGGAGGGGTATGAGTAAGAGGAGAGAGAGAGAGAGGTATGGAGAGTGGGTTAGTAGAGGAGGGGGGGTGAGAGAAAAGATACCTGGCCCTTGGTGTCTCCAAGGACACAAGGTACACCAAGACCAGGAGGGTCTTGGCCTTTGCTGCAGCAGCCAGCTGGAGGAGGGAGGGGGCTGAGATCTTTATCAGCCCCTACTGCAACTGTTCTGCAGATGTGCAGATCTAGGGTCTGCTGTGTGAGCAGGCCCTCACCACTGTAGAGCAGCCCCCTAAGCAGGGGGGTCTTCTGTTCCAGCACCAGCTGCCACGTGGCAGGACAAATGGCTACGTGCCCACCCAACCGGGGGGGGGCCAAATACGAGCCCGACCGTTGCTGGTCTGCTGCTCGCTGCTCAGTGCTCGCCGGCGGGGGGGGGGTAAATAGCCAGCACGGCACCTCTTGAACACGAGTGTGTCGTGCTGCAATGCCATGCATACATTGTGGCGAGTGTGTTACGGGGCTGCTTACGCACGCGCATGGGGCAGCACGTGCCTGGGTTCAAACCCCAGCAGCAGCAAACATCCCGAATCTTGAATAAAGTAATCCGAGAGCGGGGCGGGGCGGGGCAGCGGGGCACGTGGCGTTCGCGCGCGTGCAGCGGCCTTGGCCTTGCGCGCACGTGCTCGTGGTGGCACTTTCTTTTTTGCCACGTGTCACCTTTTCTGCCTCGTTTTCGCTGCGAAATACCCAAAAAACACCGAAAAAAACCGTTGTCGGGTTTGCTGCTTTTCCCCCTGTGCGGACTGCTGGCCAGCTGTACGGGGTGGAGGGAGGGAGCGGGGACCGTTCCCGCTCCGATACCAATGTAGCGGACCCACCAGGTGTGGTGCTCCACTAGTGGTAGAGATGGAGATGGAGGAAGAAGGGGGGAGCGAGATGGCACAACGCAGCTCCCCACGCAAGACTCCAACGCACGTACTCCAAAATGTGCAAGTGAAGAATGAGCTCGAAAACAGACAAAGGTTGGGGTATACCCCAGTGGACTGACGGGACTGGACTGCCCCGAATAAAACACAA